CCTCATGTTCTGCATCCAGACTCCTGTTGACCCCAGCTTCTAGGGACATCCTTGGAGGAGCCCTCAGCTCATACATATTGAAGTCAGGAGCCTGGTTAGGTATTTTATTTGCCTATTCTATTCCTTTCTGTCTCTGCTCCCTCTAAAAACGAAGATGCATGTAAAGACTAGTACTTGGCACACAGGGGTATTACCATCTACATTCCACAGGTGGATAAATCAGGGCTGCCACATTGCACCTCTCCAGGAGCCCAGATCACACTATATTTTATTGTCATCAAGATAAGTCTAAGAGTGTGTAACAGCTTGTTCAACATCACTCAGCAAGTGGATGCTAGTGGAGTATTTCACCCGTTCAATGAACATTTATTGAGTGCTTGCTGTATCCATGCACTGCTGTAGAGACCTGGGTCCAGCAGGGAGCAAAGACGGTCCAGGTTGGGATGAATCCAAAGCTGTTGCCGATCCTATTAGACCACCTGCCTAAGCTGCAACCCTAGTGTGAGAGTCATACTGTAGGATAATTAGCAAAGGAGGAACTTGACATAAATCTCTGGGGTGGCTAAATGAACCAGCCAGTCCTTCTTCCAACTCTCTCCTCACTTAAAACAGAGCCCACGGGCTCCCAGAAAGGCCTCGAGCCATTTTACTGGCTTCTGTCTGGCCTTGATTTCATTCCCTCTGGCATCTCTGACCTGGTTCCAGGTTATTTTGCTTTGCAGCCAGGGCTCTCCTCTGCCATGCCCTTGACCTTGGCACTTTGACCTCTCTTTTGCTTCTCAAATTTATTCTCAGCCTAGAATGCTATTTTGGTTCCTGGAACTTTATGATGCAGTGTTCCTAGGTCACCCAGAGCCCTGGGCTCCTGCTTGCATGCGGATAAGACTTAAATAGTGACAGCATCTGCTGGCTTGTCTTACCTTTGCTAATGGGCTCTGTGCCATGCCTAACCTACAATGTGAGGGAGGGAGGCAAGGACTTCTTCAAGCCAGGACTCATTCTCTGCACCTGTGGCCTGTGGCTCTAGCCTGGGATGTTGGCCCTTGGTGGTCAATGGTGAGTGAGCATCCGTGCATCTGGGGCCCTCTCTCCTTCCAGACTTCCTTCTCAGGGGGTTGGCATGACCAACCCTGACACTGGTATTCTAGCCATTTTCCCTGAGGAAAGGCTTCTCTCATGTTTATCAGGATGTAGAGAGGGACCCAATCATAAACTGCCTTTCTACCATCTACTTGTGATCTTTTTATCCAAAATCCTTCTCGAATAGATTGAGAGGGTAGGGCCTTCCCCAGCCTCTGCATCTCCACCAGTAAGGATCAGCTAAAGTCAGTTTGCACAAAGTATGTCACCACACTTAGGATGCTGAGGTTAGAGAGCAGATGGAGGAGCCACAGATTATTACTGCAGTGTTAGGTTATGCCCAAGGCAGAGAGAGACAACATCTTACCAGGAAAGAGGCAGGAGTACGTGGAGTAGAAGAAAACAGCTCCATGGGAAGATCAGGAAGATGTTCAGACAAGAACAAATTGCTGTTTGAACAAAGGAGGCTCTCTCCAAAGTTAAAGTTGGAGAGGAAAACATCTCTTTTATCTGCTACCCATTTTCTATAATTTCTCTTTTTGGTAAAAATTTCTCTTTTGTGGTTAGTATGTACCTTCTGAGAAGATCCATCCATCCATCTATCCATCACTTCATCACTTCATCCACCAATCCATTCATCCATCTATCACTTCATCACTTCATCACTTCGTCCACCCATCCATCCATCCTCCCACCCACCTACCCACCATCCATTCATCTACCCACCCACCCACCCACTCATCCATCCATTCATTCATCTACCTACCCACCCACCCACCCATCCATTCATTCATCTACCCACCCACCGACCCACTCACCCATCCATCCATTTGTCTACCCTTCCATCTGTGCATACGTTTGTCTACCATGTGTTCAGCCATGAAGCATACATTAAACACTAGCTATGTGCTTTGGTTAGTGCTGAATTCTAGAGATGCTACTTAAAGAGCTCAAAGATTGCTGAAGTAAACACATTCATGAGTGACAACATGTATAATGAAAGTGGATACATCCAGGGTGATATGTGGGCAGAGGGCAGGCCTATCTGTGCCTGGAAAAGATCGTTGCTCAAGCCTGTTCCTGTCAACTGGGATGTATTCATTCTTCGAAGCAGACACACATGTGGGAGGACTGAGGGCTTCCTTTGGCCTTTCTGAGTCATGTCCTGCTTTTTCCTCTTTGTTCAAGACTGCTCTGCATTCATACATTTGTTGAGTACCTTAATTCATTGTGAACAGAAGTGCTGAAGTGAAAGAGGGAGATTCCATTGGGTTATGGTCTGAGCTGCAGCTGAGCTGGTGCTGTGGGCTCTGCACTGATGTGTGAGTGTGAGGATGGGTGGAGGTAAGGGTCAAAGAGTCCTGGCTGGTTAAATAGCATCAGCTATGAGTGGGTGGCTGGGAGATCCATGAATGTCTTCAGAAGAGAAATCTTTACAACATCAAGGACTCTCAGCTTCAAGTTATTCTTTTGGGAAAAGAAAAGAAAAGAAAAGAAAAAAAAAAAAACAACAAACCAATTCTAAGTGGCTTACATTCCTTATAATGACATCTACATTACGGGTTTGTTTTCAAGAGGGGAGGAGTCTTAGCAACACATGCAGTGGTAGGAGATCCTGAGGGCTGGGAGTTGACGGGAACAAAGAGTGAATTAGTCCTGCTCATTGAGGAAATGCTCCTCTAGGCCTCAAGTGGCTGGGGGCACAGTTCTGTCATGGTGTTCCCTGTGTGATGGAGGGTGAGTTCCTGGTGGGTAGTGGTACTAAGTTATCTCCCTGCTGTCAGGTAAGCACTTGTGTGCTGCAGGCCACCAAAGGGGGTCAGTTCAGGCACTGACCTGCTCCCCCTCAGCTTGAGGCTCCTGTTTTAGCACACTCTTGACACCTCTGCAACATCTGACCATCCCGTCACACCTGCAGCGTGCAGAGGCGCTGGGCATGCAGCCCACAGTGGTCAGAGCTGGTGCACAGGACAGCGGCAGGCAGGACAGAGCTCTTCAATTGTCTGTGTACAAGGACATCTACAAGGGAGGCAGTCAGCTCTGCCTGGATGTGACATGCTGGGAATGGCCCTTGAGGGCTGCACAGGTGTGACGGTGCAGACCTTTGTGATGCCTTGCACCTCCTATGGGCTCACCTCAGGCTTCAACTGCAGTTGCTGGAGAATTCCTGCCACCTAAGTTCTCATCTAAGGTTCTGCTTTTGGAGCACCTGGAATAAGAAACATGAGGAAGTAAATTGCAGGCAGAGAACAAGGCAGAGAGGTGTTGTGGTGTGGGGACTTACTGGGGAGGGAGTGGGTGTGAGGCTGGGGGAAGAGGGGTTCTTTCTGCAGCCCAAGGAGCCTATTTGATCTTCCCAGGAGTCCTGTGAGGCTGACATGATTTTCTATTTTTATCTGGTGATTTTGTTTTTCTTAAATATTTTTAGCAGACGACTTGCTGTTTAGGTGTTCAGGAATGGTCCCCTTGACCCACTTTGGCTGCCTGTTGTTTGTGCAACAGTTATTAGTTGGGGTGGCCAAAAACCTGACTGAGGGTGGAGGCTACCTCGCCCTCAACCCCTTCCCTCCTCCTTCTCTCCTTTGTGCTCTGATATCCCCGTGGAGGGCTGGGGTAGCGTGAAGACAACATCTGAGAACAGGGCTGTCCTTCTCCTGCAATTAGCTCCCACTGGGCCCCTGGGAGGGTGGGTGTTATCTACCAGCTCCTCCAGATCCAGATCAGGGTCTGTAGCCACAGTCAGGAGGCCGAGCCTGGCCTGCCCACCCTGACTCCACACATGGGTTGAGCCCCGATGCTGCACTGTCATTCTTCACACTGTTACCCTCGATTCTCACTCATGGAATTACCCTCTAGACCTCTGAGACGGGGATGTTTCTCCTAGGTCCCCGTCTAGGGAGCCTAGAACAGACAACTAAGCAGAAGGGTGGTCCTCAGATGGGCACAGTTGCAAATCCCAAATGTGTTCCCTGGGTGGCAGTGACTCCATTGCACAGCAGGCACCAACTCCTCACCTCTTATTACCACTGTCCTCACTGTCACCTGGTCACTTGGGCCACCATTTACCTTAGACCCGTCCAGTGACCAGAGTGGTCTTTCTGAGGCCCAGCTCTGACTTCCAGCTTTCTGTACACTGACCCAACAATGGTGTCTTTTTCCTTCTGCTGTTCCTCCTTAGCAAGGCCCCAAGTCTTTGCAAGGCTCAGTCCCCGCTTCTCTCTTGATCCTGCTCCCTCCATATTGTACCCATTGACATAGTTGTCTTGAACTGTTTTCAGGTCCTCTAACCCAAGGATCCACCAATAGCGACCGATAGGGCAGATCCAGTACGTTGCCTGTTTAGGAAAATAATGTTTTATTGATCATGGCTGCACTCATATGTTTATATATTTCCTATGAATGCTTTCGTTATATCAGCAGAGTTGAACAGTTGCAAAAGAGACCACTAAGCCTAAAATCTTTACTAGCTGGTCGTTTACAAAAAACTCTGGTAGACTGTGCCATGCCTGGCCCTGTTTCTTGACACCTTCATGTCTTTGCAAATGCTGTACCCTCCCTTTATCCTACTAATCCTTTGACCACATGCTTTCTGCTTATCCTTTCCTCCATCCTTCACTATCTGAGTGGGTAACTTGCCTGTGTGCACATCTCAATTAGGTACAAATCATGGTTCTCCTTGTTGATGTACAGGTGCACCTCCCAATTTAGTTCCTGTGTCAGGGCAAGGTCTTATTCCATTCAGGACTCCAGAAGCTGGCTGGATTTTTGAAAGAACACCTAAAAGCCGAGGATCTTGGTGTAGATACTGAGCACCATAGCTCAGTGTTGGCATCCTGCATTCCTCCTTTTCTCTGTGGGTTTCTCCAAAGCTCTTTGGAAATACACCTGTGGAAAAGGTTTCACTGCCTCTGTCTTTGCAGATCTCCAACCTCTATCTGTATGACAGTGTTCTGATGCTGGCCAACGCCTTTCACAGGAAACTGGAGGACCGGAAGTGGCATAGCATGGCGAGCCTCAACTGCATACGGAAGTCCACTAAGCCATGGAATGGTGGGAGATCTATGCTGGACACCATCAAAAAGGTACGTGTGAGGGGGCACTCCTAACCTGGCCAAAGAAAGGCCCCTTCTTTTACCTCCACTGTGTTCCCCCTCTAGCAGCTGGCCTGAAGCTGGGCTCTGTGTGGCTGCCCTGGTAGACCCCTCCCCATGCCTCTCTCCTTGTCACTCTTCCTGTCCTAGCATCTGCAGGCTAGGTGAGCTGTGGTCCATGGATACATATTATCATTACTGTCTTCAATTTAATATAAGAACTTCTGAGAGGTTAAGCAACTTGCCCTAGGCCACAAGTAGGTATGAAATGGAGGCAACTGCCTATCCCACCTCTGCCAGGTACCCCTCTATGCAGACCACCACTCCCCAAGAGAGGAGTGCACCTGTGTGTGCACTTGTGATGTGTCTCATGGGCTGAGGAAGGACACTGAATTAGAAAGCTGGATTTGAAGTGAATTGAGCAGTCTCTAGATGATTTGCTAGAGTGAATTGGCATTAAAGGCTTCAAAAGAGCATATAGGGAAATCTATAGTGTTAGGAATTTAGTCACAATGAATTGCGTGTGGTTTCAGTAACAGTGAACATGTTCTAGTGTAGGTGATCTACTGCAGCCCAGAGCAGAGTCGGGGCCCCTTCTGGGCCAGCTGTTTCTGGGACTCTCTAGACTCACAGGGACTATGAGAGAGAAATCTGGATGAGAACCTCACCCTGGGCTTGGAGAGAGAAAGGGGCTCAGCCTGGCTCCCTCAGCCTCCCTCAGCCTCCTGCTCCTATGGAGCCCACTGAGCGAGTAGAGTGAGGCATGGGGACCGCAGCCAGTCTATGCCAGATGCTGTACTTTGTACACATTTTCTCCTCCAGTCCTTGTGGGTTCTATGATGTGGAGCTAATTAACTTCAGGCCAAAGCTGGGAGATGGGCAGTGTGCCCAAGGTGGCACAGGTGGCAAAGCCGGGATCTGAGCTTGGGTCCAGGTTGTGCCCTCTAATGCACATGGCTGCTGCCCTTCAACTTAACCATCATGTGTCTGATGTGTCTCTTGTTGACCTTTGAATTTCCTCTTGGGTCAGGCTAAGATGAGCCCCTGGAGCTGATTGCAAGGGGAGGACTAAGCTTCAGGAGGGTGGGGACAAAAGCTGCCATTGTTTAATCTCATGGCTAGCATATGGTGCCTGGCACATAGCAGGGACTCTAAGCATATAGATGACACGAATGACAGGTGCAAGCTTTAGGGATTTCTCCCATAAGCAAAGGGCCTCGAAAGTACCAATCCTACTCTGAGGGCCTGGGACTGCCAGCCCGTCTTGTCCTCATTACAGCCTGTCCATGGTTTCAAGACTCTGAGTGCCCCCTTCTTGGTGAAGTATCCACTTCCTTTCTCCTCTTAGCCTCTGGGACTCCATCCTCTACCTTAACCATATATTCATCACCCTCCAATGGTTTTTCCCCCTCTTCTGCAGGGCCACATCACTGGCCTCACTGGGGTGATGGAGTTTCGGGAGGACAGTTCGAATCCTTATGTCCAATTTGAAATCCTTGGCACTACCTATAGTGAGACTTTTGGCAAAGACATGCGCAAGGTAAGCCTCAGGCTCCCTATCTCTCAATCTTACTGCTGTGGTGCCACTGAAGTGTAGCAACAGCTACAGGGTCCCTGGGCTTCCAGCAACTGTTTACTGGCACAGATACCCTCCCTCCTAGTGTCTCTCTGCTGATGCTACCATTGGCTGGTGTTTATAGGGCATGCTAGGCAGTAAGTGGAGAGAGGTTTCCAAACAGGAATTGTCATGAATGGCCTCTCTTTGAGTAGGGCAGGGCATCTGGTAATAACTGGGTCCTACTACTTGGATCAGGGTACCTGCTTGGAGGCTATCAGGGACATTGTGTTTTCTTTAGCGCAGTGAAATCAGCCCAACCACAGGGACAAGTGTGAATTGTGGTTGAGGCAGAAGAGAGAGGTTACAACCTGAGTGTCCTCCAGATCCAAGAGTGAGACAAGGCCACAATCAGAAAACCAAGCCTCAAGGCGGGTGGGAATTGGAAAATGCCAGAGCCCATTGGAAAGAGAAATGAGAGACAGATGAGTAGAACAACTCAGAATGAGGTTTGGCTTTTTTATTTGGTGCTGGTGTTGGTGCAGGTGGCAGGCCTGAGTCTTCCCAGTGATACTTTCCCTCTTCTTCCACCTTTTATGGAGGATAGAGAACAGTTTTTCAGGATTGTAGACAGTGGAGAGGTAGCCTTTTATCCAGGGTGGGGATCCTCAAAGTTAGGGGGACCCATGACACCAAGAGTCTAGGACAAAGAGGCCAATATGGAAAGCAAGGGCTGGAGGAGTTATCCAAGTGAAGGACCTCAGATGTGGTCACTGTGAGCGGATGTGGAGCTGATGGTGGGTATCCTGGTGTGGTCAGTGGCTGGCTGTCCTAGGCCTAGCCAATTCCACAGGCTTGGATGGCATCCAGAAATGGCCTGTACAGGAGAGGCCGGAGATGAGATGACTCATGGTGTAGACGAGACACAGGGGCTTGGTCTTCTCAGGAAATAATGAGAGCATTAACTGATTGGCATGTATTCAGGCGTAGCCTCATGTAATCACAGACATGCTCAGACACACACACAAACACACGCATACACACTTCATACACTTTGGAGGAAGATGTCTCTACTATTGATGGTGCCTGGAGCGTGAAGGACAGTCCTTGCAAGTCATGAGCTCTCAGCAGGAGCTGAATAAGCCCTCAGCAAAGAGACTTTTAGCTTGGCCTCAGCAGTGGCTAGGAGCAGTGCAGCTGGAGGCAATGGCTGAGTGATTGATGTTGGGGTACTGAGAATCTGGGTGGGGGACTTCTTCAGTTTTGCTCCTGAGGTCCAGGGAAGAAGGACGCATATGTGAACTGGTGGAGGGTGTAAGAGCTGGGGAACAGGGAGGGAGCAGTGTAGAGCTCATCAGTAACAGAGGGGGCAGAAGACTAGCTCTCCAGAAAGAGGCTGGGTGGCCTAGGTCCTTATGAGAAGGGGGCTGGGGATTTTCAGCCAACTCTGTGATAGAAGAGAGAGTCATGGATGGGTCATATAAATAATTGAAGTTTCAATCATTGGTTGTGACACAATATCTGACATACATGCCTTCATGACATTTTGGAGCTCAGAGGTTTGTTGGTGGCATCCTAGAGGGGGTTGGCTAGCAACTACTCTGTGACTCCCTATAGAAGGCCAGGGTGTGACCTGTGATGTCCAGGAAGCCAGGGCTGTCCTATGATGTCTGTTAGGAATGCCCAAAGTTGTGAGACTTGGTGAGGGGATGGGGATAGGTGGTCAGCATTGGTTTGGGTCATGACCACAAGAGATATGGGCTTGTACTGGGACTCCCACCAGGTAAGTGGGGCTCTTTCAGTCACTCCGGCGTGAAAAAGCTTGCGAAGTATAGCTGGCTGCCGAAATAACTGCTCACGTCGGCCACGGTCCTGATGCACTTGCCCTCATCACCAAGTCTTATTCTGAAATTAGGTCCTGCCTGCTGGCTCCTTCTGTCTCCAACCCACTTCTTTTGGTAGGAATTCTGCCTGTGGAGGTCTCCGCCTTGTCTTAAGCAGTGGACCCTCCAGTCCTGTGCCTGGCACTGTGCTGGCCACCCCAGGTGCCTGAGTGAGGGGGAGGCACTGTGTCCTCCACTTCCTGTTTCAGGTGTCTAGGCCTTCCAGGTTGCCAAGGGAACGCACCTCAAAAACCCTGAAGCCAGTGGGAGCTGGAATTTCTCAGTCTAAGGAGCTTTGAGCAGGAGGCCTGAATGTAATTGAGTTGGAAGGGAAGCTGATTTTCAAGTGGGCTTTATTTTAAAATGTATCTTTTTGTCATTTTAAAATCTGCCCTTAATAACTGCATATCCCAGTTGTTATCTGTCTGCCTGGCAGCTTATCGCTGCTAAGGAGAAGTTATCTGGAAAGCAGCGAATGGGATTTACTGTAGCAAATGTTTGTTATTCCGGCCCAGGGTGCATTAAAGCAAGTCCAGGGGGTTTCAGATGAAGCAAGGGGAAGGGATTAGGACTGTATCATGGGGGTAGGGCACCCTTTGAAGGCAGGGCTAAGTGGTGGTTCCAGGTGGGAGATGGGGCTGTGAGGGGTGGGGCTGGGAAATAGGGGTAGTTTAAAAATAAAGGACGTGCAGATAAGGGAGAAAACAATTGAGGATGGGTGGCAGATTTGAGGGCAGGATCCTGAGCCACACTAAAACAGTACAAAGATCAGTCATCTAAGGAGTGCCCAAGGTCGGGGTCCAAGGGGTCACAGCTCTCTTGGCCATGCAAGATGCACAGCTGCTGAAGGAGCCAACTGAGCAGACTCCTAGATGCTATGGTGCTAGGCAGGGGCAGCATTCCCTGCAAAGATTATATATGCCGACAGGAACAAAACCAGACACAGACTAAGCAGATTCTTTAAGACTTAAACCAAGAGGAATCATTTACATTAAGGAGCAAGATATTTTCTTAAACTAAATATCCCGGAGGGAAATCTCAGGAACGGTGAGTCACCCAAACATTTTAGATTAAATGGCATCAAGAGACTGTAGATTACTCAGCCCCTTCATCAGAGGGAAGGAGTGGGTGATCGCCTTTCACTGCAGGGTGCTGGACAAATACTAATTCAATTATCTCATCCAGAAGTATGTTCTTAGTGAAGGAGCTTTGTATGGAAAAATCAAAGGTCTGTGTCATCAGCTTGCTGTGTAACTACAAGCAAAATATTGTTTTGTACTTGGAGCTGTCTGGCATGGGTCTGCCACCAGGCGTAAGGTTTGCTGGAAACTTCCAGCTCTCAAAGGCATTGGTCTGACATTTGTCTTGGGGATGGGGGTGGTATATGCTTCTTCTATCCTGTTGGAGGCATATTTTTTTCAGGGCTCAGAAATGTAATAGGATCTCCTCAAATTTCTACTTGGCTTTGTTTCACTTTGCTCAGACAGGAATTTCCAAGAGAATTCCAGGAACGTGCCCATGTAGATGTCCTTAGCTCATGAATGAGCTCTGACACGTCTGTCAGAGCCACCTGTAGTTAAGTTCCCAAAGGTGGGGTATGTGGGAAGCTGCTGGGTATAGGGAACAGGCAGGAACCATTAAGCATCCACTGTGTCTAAAGGTGCATTGTATGTATGTTGCCTCATTGACCTGGGCCTTTGCTTTGCTCCTGGCACTGCCTCTCCTGACTTTCTGCACAACTTCCCTTTTCTGAACCTTTGTTTCTTCAGATGAAAGTTGCATGTAATATGAGCCTACTTGTTGGATGGAGGGGTCAGTCAGTGTAATGACACTGTGCAGCACTTTGCAGTGAGGGTGTGCTCATATGGCACAGGGCATCAGCTTTGGGCAAATGGGACTGTACATTTTCTCTGAGCGTATCTATCTCAGACTCCACAAGAGCAGAGAAGCACAGGAAGCCCTAAAACACAGCCTGCAGCCTCGCAGTGCCCTAGACTATAGCTCTAAAACCAAGGCCAGAGGTAAGAGTCTCCCTCTTGCAGCCTTGAGCTGGTGTGGCTGGGATCACTTAGCTCTGTGTGCCAGGACTGTGCCAAACTCCCCTTTTATGCCTGGCAGCAGATGCCCAGTCCTTATAAAGACCAAGGGCTGAGAGGGATCTGTGGAGCGTCACCTCTGATACAATTTTATTTTCAGGACTGTTTTGGTGTAGATGTAATCATCTCAAGAAGAAAAACGTGGTTGTCTTTCCCCCCTCCGCAAGCATGACTTGCCCGGATAGGAACACTAGTTACAGCCCAGAGGAAACATTTCTCCATGACCTGATTGCTGAAGCTGTCCGCCTTTCTCCATCCTAATGGCACTGGTGTAGGGAACTCATTCTCTTCCACTAACTCTGGATCCCTTGTGCAGCAAAATCCTGGGAGAACTGCCAACTGCTCACAGGCCCTTTGAACCTCATTTTCCATGAGTGGCATCCACCCGAATCAGTGGCTCAGTGGAGGGCAGTGGGTCTCCTTGGGCAGGAGGATGGGGAAGTAGGCGGGAGCATCTGGACAGCCTGTGGGTTTGCTTTATGCCTGCTTCCGGAATGAGGGAGACGCTGATGGGGTGTGAGAGAAGACAGCTGTTTTCTTCTTTCTGTGGAAGAGAATCCAGTTAGGACCAAGAAAGGACAAAGGAGCATTTTATCCGGGGGGGGGGGTGTCAAGCTTTTCTCTTGCCCTCGAAAGTCTGATCAAGCAGGACCCAAATGTATTAAAGAGTCATAGACGCACATGTGCTGATTGCAGTAGGTGGGGGATTGGAGTCTGCACAGCTCCATTTGGGAAACCGAGGCTCAGAGACTGGGAGATACATAGAAGCAGCAAGCATGAGGCTGTGCTGGGCTTGGAAGGCAGATTTCCCGGGGGTGAGTGGGGTCGGCAGAGGACCCAGAACACCCTTTCTGAACTTCAGATGCTGCAGTTCTGTGACTCGCTCTCTCCCCATCAGCTCACGTTCTGCTCCAACCTTCCCCAGTCAGCATTAGGGCATCACAGGCCCTTCCTGTTGGCTGGGAGCCAGCTGAATTGAAATTTCCACCACCACTCTTGGCTCAGC